CCAAGACGGCCCCGGAGGCCCCAAATATTGTCCCAAGACGGCCCCAGCGGCCCCCCTAGGCGGCCCTATAGAGGTCCCCAAGACGGCCTCAGTTTGTCCCGAAACGGTCCATGATTCCCTAAAGACGCTCGAAGGTGGCTCCAAGGCGGTCCACGAGGCTCCAAAGACGCTCCGAGAGGGCCCCGAGAGGACGCTCTCTTAGGCCGTTTTGGAGCTCTCTTGGGGTATATGGCTGTCTGAGGGTTATTGTGGGTTTGTCGTAGGGCCGCTCCCTCAGACAGATGTTGCAGGAACTTCCCAAATCCGTCGGGTTCTCTCACGGATGCATCCGGCTTCTCATGGACAGCATTGGGGGCCCCTTGGGGCCGTCCTTGGACGTCATCGAGCTCTCTTGGGGCGTGTGGCTCTCTGGGAATTCTGTTGGGTTTGTCGTAGGGCCGCCCCGCCAGACAGATTTTGCAGGAACTTAAAAAATCCGTCGGGATCTTTTAGGGCTCGACCAGGCATCTCAGGGACAGCCTTGGGGGCCCCTTGGGGCCCTCATGGGCCGTTTTGGAACTCTCTTGTGGCATGTGACTGTCTGGGGGTTCTTTTGGGTTTGTCGTAGGGCCGCCCCCCCCCCCCCCACCCCAGACAGATTTTGCAGGAACTTGCAAAATCCGTCGGGTCCTCTCAGGGCTGCACCAGGCTTCTCAGGGACAGCCTTGGGGGTCCCTTGGGTAACACCAAGGCTCCCAAGAGCGAACGGTGACGTGAACAACTCTCAACATCAAGGCTCCCAAGAGCGAGCGGCAACGTTAACATCTCTGAGCACCACGGCTCCCAAGAGCGAGCGGTACGTAACAAGCTCTTGCCACCAAGGTTCCAAAAGCGACCTGGGGCGTGAGCCATCTCGGGCAAGTTCCTGAGGCGCTCTTTCCGTTCCCGTGCAGGCCCAGGTGACGGAAAGAGCGAGGTACGATTGATAAACGTTAATTGGTCGGGCGAAGCTTTTAAGGGATGGGTCCAGGGGAGGGGTGAGGCGCGCGCAGTGGAGTGGTAATGGCCAGCTTTCCTCATATGTTTGTTTGAATGAAGCGGCTCCCGGGCGGCTCCCATGGCCTGTTTCTTGATATTTTGTCGAATGAAGCGGCTCCCGGGCGGCTCCCTTGGCACGTTTCTTCGTATGTTTGTTTGAGTGACGCGGCCCAAGGGCCACACCGCGGGACACCTTTCGATTTCACTATTGGTCTCACTATCGATCTCACTATCGATCTCATTCAATGGGACACCATAGGACACCACGGGGCACCTCGGGACACCACATCGATCTCACTATCGATCTCACTATCGATCTCACTCAACGGGACACCACGGGACACCTGTCGATCTCACTATCGATCTCATTATCGATCTCATTTTTTGGGACACCACGGGACACCTCGGGACACCACATCGATCTCATTATCGATCTCATTATCGACCTCACTCAACGGGACACCATGGGACACCTCGGGGCACCACATCGATCTCAGTATCGATCTCACTATCGATGTCATTATCAATCTCACTCAACGGGACACCACTGGACACCACGGGACACCACGGGACACCGCGGGACATCGCGAGCCACCGCAGGACGGACGGACGGGCGGGCGGGGGAGAATCATTTGTCTTGATTTCTCCCTAGCAACGGCGGACACCACGGGACACCACGGGACGGGACACCACATGACACCGCGGGACACCGCTAAGGCCACCGCCAGACGGACGGACGGATGGACGGGGGAACAACATTTGTCTTGACTTCGCCCTAGCAACAGCGGGTTCCTTCGTCTCGCGCACCCACGCAGCTTCGCCTCGCTCGCACGCACGACACGAGCGAAACGAAACGATTCCCCGGTTAGGTGTCTCCGTTCCACTGCGATCTCACCACCCACCCTCCGATCTAACATGGTTGTCCCGAGCTGGAGCCATGTGTTTTTACGTGTCCAGGCAACCCAGGGGTGTATCTAACATGGTTGTCCCGAGTTGCAACCACGTGTCTTTACGTGTCCAGGCCACCCACGGGGATATGTAACATGGTTGCCCCGAGCTTGAACCATATGTTTTAACGTGTCTAGGCCACCCAGGAAGGTATCTAACATGATTGTCCCGAGCAAGGACCATGTGTTTTAACGTGTCCAGGCCACTCAGGGGTGTATCTAACATGGTTGTCCCGAGCTGGCACCACGTGTTTTTACGTGTCCAGGCCACCCGAGGGGATATCTAACATGGTTGTCCCGAGTTTGAACCACGTGTTGTTACGCATCTAGGCCACCCAGGGGGGTATCTAACATGATTGTCCCGAGCAAGGACATGTGTTTTGACGTGTCCAGGCCTCTCACGGGTGTATCTAACATGATTGACCCGAACTGGAATCACGTGTTTTTACGTGTTCAGGCCGCCAAGGGGATATCTAACATGGCGGAACCAGGCCATTTAGGGGGTATCTAACATGGGCCTCCTGGGGCCTTCCTGGGGGCCTGGAACGGAACGTGGAGGACCCGATCCACAACGCTATAGAGCGCAATCGCGGCATGGCACATCGCAATTCAGCACGGCGCAGCACAGCACAGCCTTCGGCACGGCACATCAAGATCGATACACCCAGCTTTGTAACCTGGCACACTCCCTAGCACGTTTCGTGGCGCGTCCCGTGGCGAGTCTCCCTGGCACGTCGCGCGGCGCGTCCCCTGGCACGTCCCGTGGTACGTCCATTGGCACGTTCCGTAGCGCGTCCCCTTGGCACGTCCCGCGGTGCGTCCCCATGGCACGTCCCCTGGCACGTCGCCTGGCTCGACCCTGGGGACGTTCCGCGGCGCGTCCTCCTGGCAGGTCCCCCTGTCAATTAGCTCTGGGGCAGCTACTCTGTGCTCAGGCAGCTCGAGCGTGCGATCCAGATCAGTTCGGTCAGGACTCGGATGCAAAGGAGGACTCGATCCGCAACGCTATGGAACACAATCGCGGCATGACACATCGCAATTCAGCACGGCGCAGCCCAGCACAGCCTTCGGCACGGTACATCAAGATCGATACACTCAGCATTGCATTTGCCCGTCGCCCAATCAGGTGTTTCTATATTCCCTTCCAGGTTGGCGGGTCGATCATGTATGTTTGTTCGCAAGGTTGGTTGATACTTGTTTGCATGTCGTGCCGAAGCCTTAACACCAAGAGGGCTCCAAGACACTAAGCCAGCGACCTCGCGCCCTCACAAAGTAAACGCGCGTTTCTTCCCCATGCCAAGCAGGCTGTCGGCCCGAGACGGCCGAAGTCAGCCCCAGGAGCGCCCACGAGGCCCCCATGACGGCCCAAGAGGCCCCCAAGACGGTTTCGGATACCTCCAAGACGGCCCCCGGGAAACCCAAGAGGGTCCCAAGACGACCCAAGAGCGTTCACAGAGGGCCCAAGACGGCCTCAGAACGGCCGAAGAAGCCCTCAAGACGCTCCAAGAGGCCCCCAAGATCACCTCCATCGCAATTCTGGCCCAAGGGAACCGCCATCGATCTCGTGCGAAACCAGTGCCGTCGACGCAGCCCGTGCGCTGCGCAGCCGTTGCGCGATGCTCCCGCTGGTGCTGCTGGTGCCCCTGGCGCTGCTGAGCCTCGATCTGCTGGCGCCGTGGCCGGCGGGCGCGGGCGCCGGACTGGCGCCGGCGCTGGTGCCCCAGGACTGGGCGCCGGAGGCGGCCAGGGCACGGCGGTTGGCAGAGAACCCGGCAGAGAACCAGAGCAGCAATCCGTACAGCCTCGAAGCCGAAGAGGAGGAGCTCAAGAAGGAGGTGGAGGAGGTCTTCAACGGCTCGTGGCGAGATCCCCGCGACAGCGACGGCGACGGTCTCCTGGTGTTCGTTCTGGTTTTTTCCATGCTCCTACTGTTCGCTCCCTTCCTCCTGATGGGGTTTTCGGTCTGCGGATGCCTGGGCGTGCTCCTCTTCGCCTTCAAGTACAAGGCGGACGTGACCGAGAAGAGGCCGCCCCTGCGGGACGGGGCGGCGCAGCTCCCCTCGGGCGACTTCGCGACCGGCGTGTTCCGCTGCCTCGACGATAGCCACACCTGCCTGCACGCGTACTGCTGCACGTTGTGCCGCGCCGGGGACACCTACCAGGAGACAATTTTTTTAGGGCCCGGCGATCAACCCGGGTTATCTGGCTTGCCCCCCCTCCCCCCCAACCCCCAGGATAACCTAACCTTGCCGGTTGTGCAGGTCCGGGGTGGGGGGGCGCGGGCACATGCAGGGCTGTCCACAGCCCTCCCCCCCGGATAACCCGGGTAATCGCCGATACCAAAAAAAACGGTCTCCAGGGGGCTGGCATCACGCAGTATTGGATGGTGGTCGGCATCTTTGTCGTCGCACACATCATCGGTCGTTTCGTGCAGACTCTCGTCCATGTCATGACCGTCGAGATGTTTGGCGGGGGTGGTGCCGACCCAGAGCACGCCAGCCAGAGTCTGGACCCAACCCCCGGTGCCATGATCATGATATACTTTAATCTTGTGAGTCTCCTGGTCGCGTCGCTCATCGTGGGTGCCGTCTTCCAGAACTACCGCCGCAAATTGCGGGTAAAGCTCGGCGGGAGCGAGGAGGGAGGGCCGAGCGTCTTCGTGGACTTCCTCATGCTCGCGTTCTGCATGCCCTGCGCCGTCGCACAGGAGGCGCGCGAGCTCGACGCCGCCACCGGCGTCAAGGTCGAGTGCTGCTGCACGCTGAAGGCCACGTCGGGCGCGCCCCTGGACGGGCAGCCCTTCCTCGGCCAGCCGCAGCCGCTCATCGGTCAGCCCGTGCACCAAGGGGTGAGTCAGTGAGGGAAAGAGAGAGGCAGAGGGTGCGGCCTTGGGTATCCGCAATCGCACCTTTGGCGCATCTACGGGCTTGGCGCGTGCGCTGGTCCTAACCTAAAAGAGGCCTCCAAGATCACCCGCAAAAGGCAACAGTTGTTTCATTCCCTTTGGGAAACATGCATTTTTACGATATTCTCTTCGTTGGGTTTGACAATGTGCACGACGACAGAAGCAGCCCCCACGACCGCTTGAAGACAGTCCACGAGGCCCCAAAGACGGCCACAAGACGGCGCCAGAGGGTTTCAATACGTCCCAAGACAGCCCCAAGACGGCCCAAGAGGGGCCCCTGAGGGTCCCAAAAGGTTACCAAGAGAGCCTGAATTGGGCCACAGGAGGCCCCCAAGAGGGTCCCAGAGGGCCCCGAGAGGGCCCCAAGATGGCCCTAGCCCCCCCGTGCTGTCCAAGAGGGCTGCGGCCCAAGAGAGCCCACGACGGCCCAAAAGAGCCCCCAAACGATCCCCAGGAAGGTGCGGAAATGCAATGTTTTCGGATCTTCGCAAACTTCGTTGCTAGATTCTTGTATGTCGTACCGAATCCTTCACACCAGCCATCGACCTCGCGCCCTCACGAAGTAACACCAGGAAGCATTTAAGAACCCCCCCCTCCTACGGCAAATCGATAACCCTTCCGCACCCTGGAAGCGTTACCTGGCACCAGGAGCCTCTCCTCCTGTCCGGGTGCTAAAGCTATCGTTCGGTTATTTCGGCCTCTCGGAATATCGAATAACAAATGCGGTGCTACGATATCGCCGGGGGGGGTCTTAAATGCTTCCTGGGGTTACACGCGCTTTCCGTCCCCGTGCCAAGCAGGTCACGGAAAGAGCGAGGCACGAGTGATGACGTTCCATCGCAGGCCTAGAGGTTGGCACCAACACCAAGATCGGCGGTGTGCCTCCACCGAGGGAAGACGATCCCGATCTCGGTGACGGTGGTAATATTACCACCAACACCGAAATCTAGGATGATCTTCCCCCTCTGGAGGCAGCCCCCTGTACTGGTGTTGGTGCCAATTTCCAGGCCTCCAAGTTCCTGTGTGGGGCGAAGCCCCTTAGGGAGGGGTCCAGGGGAGGGGCGAGGCCTGGAGGTCCCGGATGACGGAAAGAGCGAGAGGTACGAGTGATGACGTCATGGTCCCAGGGGAGGGGCCCCAGGGGAGGGGGAGGAGGAGGAGGAGGAGGAGGAGGAGGAGGAGGAGGAGGAGGAGGAGGAGGAGGAGGAGGAGGAGGAGGAGGAGGAGGAGGAGGAGGAGCCTCCGAGAGGGCCCGCCCCCGCGCACGGGGGAGGGGGGAGGGCCTCGGCGCTAACGGCTGCCGGGGGCCGTTTCCCTAGCGTGTGTTGGAGTGAGGCAGCTCGCGGGCGCCTTACACGGCCCGTTCCTTTTGTATGTTTTGGGTGAAGCGGCTCCAGGGCCCCAAGACGGCCAAAGAGGGCCCCAAAACTACCTAAAGACGGTCCCAAGAGAGCTTCGGCTGGCCTGCAGACGGTCCAAGAGAGCCTCGAGACGGCTCCAGAGACCCTCCAGAGGGCCCTCGAGAGGGCCTCAGGAGCCCCAAAACATTGATTTCCTTATGGTGTTTCCAGGTTTCTCGGGTTCTCGCCTTTTCAGGCCCAGACGGGCCCCACACGGCCCACGAGGTCCGAAAGCTCGTCCCAAGACGGCCCCAGAGGCCCCCCCAAGAGGCCCGAAAACGGTCCAAGAGGGCCCCAAGACGGCCCCAGATGGACCCAAAACAATCCAAAAGGGCCCCAAGACGGCCTAAGAGGGCCCCAAGACGGCTCTCAGAAAGCTCCGAGAGGGCCCAAAGAGGCTCCTAAGAGGGCCCCAAGAGGCCCCCAAGAGAGACCCAAGACGGCCAAAGGCTTCCAAGACGCCCCTCGACGGCCCAAAGGGCCCCAAGACGGCCGAATTGTCCCAAAAGGGCTGCCGAAGGGCTCCAAAAGGGCCCCCCAAATACCCCGACGAAACCCAAGAGACGCTCAAGAACACCATGGCTCCCATCAGCGAGCGGTGACGTAACAAGCTTCTGGACACTAAGGCTCCCCAGAGCGCGGTGACGTACAAAGCTCGTCACACCAAGGCTCCCAAGGGCGAACGGCAACGCAACAGTCTCTCAGGGCTCCCAACGGAGAGCGGCGACGTAACAAGCTCTCACACCAAGTCTCCCAAGAGCGAAGGGAGCTATGCGCCCTCTCGGGCCAGTTCCTGAGGCGCTCTTTCCGTTTTCGTGCCGGCCCAGGTAACGGAAAGAGCGAGGTACGAGTGTTGACGTTTTGGTGGGGCGAAGCCCCTGAAGGGAGGAGTCCAGGGGAGGGGTGAGGCGCGTTTGGTTGGTAGTGGCCGCCGGGGGGGCCGTTTCCTCCGTATTTCTAGGAGTGAAGAGGCTCGCGGGCGCCTTCCGGGGCCCGTTCCTTTCTATTTTTTCAAGTGAAGCGGCTCCAGGGCTCCCAAACGGCCCAAGGGGGCCCCCAAACTACTTAAAGACGGCCCCAAGAGAGCTTCGGCTGGCCTGCAGACGGTCCAAGAGACCCCCGAGACGGCTCAAGAGACCCTCCAGAGGGCTCCCGAGAGGGCTTCAGGAGCCCCAACACATTGATTTCCTTATGGTTTTTGAAGGTTTTTCTTGTTCTCTCCCTTTTCGGGCCCCGACGGGCCCAACACGGCCCCAAGACGCCCCCCAGAGCCCCAGAGGCATTCCAAAGGGCCCGAAGACGGTCCAAGACGGCCCCAAGACGGTCCAAGCCGGTCCAAGAGGCCCCCAGGCGGCTCCAGAGGGTCGGCCCAAGGGCCCCAAGACGGCCCAAGAGGGCCCCTAACTGGCCCAAGAGGACACCAAGGGGGCCCCAAGAGAGCCTCAGATGGCCTCCAGACGGTGATGTTTCAATGGTTTTTGCATGTTTTTGGGGTTCTTGCCTTTTCGGGCCAGAAGCGGTCCAAAACGGCCCACGAGGCTCCAAAGATCGCCCCAAGGCGACCCAAGAGGCCCCCGAAAGGGCGCGAAAACTGTCCAAGAGAGCCCCAAGACGGTCCCAGAGGGGCCCAAAACGAGTCAAAAGGGCCCCAAGACGGCCCTTAGAGAGCCCAAGACGGCTCCTAGAGAGCCCAAAGACGGCCACAAGAGGTTCTCCAAAGGGCCCCCAATGGCCCCCAAGAGAGACCCAAGACGGCCAAAGGCTTCCAAGACGCCCCTCGACGGCCCAAAGGGCCCCAAGACGGCCGAATTGTCCCAAAAGGGCTGCCGAAGGGCTCCACAAGGGCCTCCAAAAGACCCCGACGAGACCCAAGAGACGCTCAAGAACACCATGGCTCCCATCAGCGAGCGGTGACGTAACAAGCTTCTTGACACCAAGGCTCCCCAGAGCGCGGTGACGTACACAGCTCGTCACACCAAGGCTCCCAAGAGCGAGCGGCAACGGAACAATCTCTATACACCAGGGTTCCCAACGGAGAGCGGCGACGTAACAAGCTCTTCATACCAAGTCTCCCAAGAGCGAAGGGTGCCATGAGCCCTCTCGGGCCAGTTTCTGAGGCGCTCTTTCCGTTTCCGTGCCGGCCCAGGTAACGGAAAGAGCGAGGTACGAGTGTTGACGTTCTGGTGGGACGAAGCCCCTTAAGGGATGGGGTCCTAGGGGAGGGGCGAGGGGGGCGCACCGCCGGCTTTCCTCGTTCGGGTGAAGCGGCTCCCGGATGGCTCCCATGGTCTGTTTCTTGGCATTTTTCCGGTAAACCGGCCAGAGAGCCCCAAGACGGCCCAAGAAGGCCCCAAAACAGCTTCAGAGGGCCCCAGGACGGCCCCAAGAGAGCTTCAGATGGCCTCCAGACGGTCCAAGATAGTCTCGAGACGGCTCCAGAGGCCCTCAAGAGGTCCCCCGAGAGGGCCTCAGGAGACCAAAAACATGGTTGTCCTAGGGTTCTTGTTACTGTTTGTCCTAGAAAAGGGCTGCGGCCCAGGGTTCTCTTTTAGTTTGTTAACCCTCCAGTGTTGATTTGGGGAGGCTGGCGGATGACGGGAAGCGCGCATAGAAGGCCCTGGCTCGAGCGATTCAAGCGATTTTCTTCGTGTCAGCGGGGTCGCAAGCCCCCGCGCAGCATGTTTGCAGATCGATGGCGGGACATGTTTCGTTTCTCTTCTTTCTGTGCGCCACCGCACGCCGAATTGAACTGCGCTGGAGGGCCGTGCGTTCGGTGGCGGCACGACCACCGTGGAGCCCCATGCCGTCCAACGACGACTACGACGGGGGCGAGCCAGTGCCAAGCCTGGGCACATCCTACAGTACCTACCGCGCCGCGCTCGCCAGAGGGCGGGCGGGGTACTGGGGCGACCGCCTGACACGTTGGGATACAGTGGCGTACCGCTGCAGTTGGAGCTCACACGACTTCCCTGTCCTCATGCCTCACCATTACAGTTGTTGGGTGAGGAGCAGCATGGGCTCTACAGTTTTGTGATTTTCAATCGTGGTGGTACATCCTTGCTTCTACACATTTGTTTCAACAGGGTCCCGTGGCTGGTCATTCGTCGCCGTCTTGCACGTGTTGCAACAGGGAGTATCAGAGCAAGTGTCTGGTGACTTTGGGTTTGGCTCGGCCGGACTACAATACTCGCCCTGTTACACTCTCCGTGTGTTCAGTTGCTTCTGTTCTTGTGTACTCGCATTGCGGTGCATAACGTTGCCGCCTTGGCTCTGCTGGGAAGGGCGGTCTGCCTTCCATGCGCGTCACCTTCGCCTGCCTTCTGCACTCTCCCTTTCTGCTTGTTTTCCACCGCGGCTGCAACGGCATGCCGCCTGTCTCGTGGCCAGAGGGCTATGGCCAGTCGCGTGTGCCCGCCGCCAGAGGGTGGTAGCCACGCGTGACGCATCCTAGATGCACGCGTGCGCGGGTCACCCTAGAGCGGGCGGGCCTTGTCGAGGGCTCGCGAGACCTCTTGATCGGGGTTGCGTCTTTAAAAAAAAGGCGCGCGTAGGCTCGAAGAGTCGCGGGATGGACGCCGGTTCCGGCCTGGGGGCAAATAGTTTCATCTCGGGGGGTCTGAGGTGGGAAGTGCTTGGGATTGCTCCGTGATCAAGGCCTGGCGGAGTCAGACGGGAAGCGCGCGCGTGGACTCGAAGAGTCGCGCGATGGACGCTGGTTCCGGCCCGGAGGG